CTCGAGAGTCGACAGAGACTAAATCGATGTCGCCATTGAAGAACTTCAAGTGAGAGATTTTTAGAATATTTTGTTGTTGTTGTTGCAGGTTGGTTCTTGAGAGATCGACGGTGGGTAAATCTTGACAGATTCAAAAATCGATTTCGTCCCTTGGTACAGAGAGATACGGAGAAGACTAACAGTCGTTTCCACCGATCGAAATAGAGTTGAAGTGTATGCGATGAGTAGAGTTTGTCCAGAAAGATGTGTGGAAAGGGGTCTTCCCATATATATAGGGTGAGTGTGCGGCCATGAGGGGGTGTACGGCTTGTGTGCGGTCGTACACTCCTCCCAAGAAAGTGTATGGCCCGAAAATGCTGCTATACGACTTGCTAAATCATCCCTAATCTCAACCTTGGTTGTACTTAAGCTTAGAACTCTTAAATGAACCCTTAAATGGTGCTAAAAAGGTAACAGAAACGAGTTTATCATTGATTGAATTGAATAGATGTACAAGATGCAAGTTTCGGGTTGTCACATCACTTCACTACCCTTCACTTACATCGTATTTTTTGGCATATTTTCAAGTACTCAAAAAACGATTAATAATATTAAATGTAACTTTTTTGGTTGGGGGAAAAGGGTTGAGGCAGGTCCTGCTTTGTGTTGTAGGCCAAGATACCCTGGGCGGACCGGATAGACTGATGGCCCGGTGCGGGCGATCCAGTCAGACTGATGACTCATTATGCATGTTGTTTGCTTATATTGTAACACCCGGTTCCTGGTACATATTTTAATTAAAGTAAACTCATGTTTTACTCTGGGACTCGGTGAGTTGGAGGCCCAACTCGTCGAGTAGACTCGACTTTGGATCGGCAGGATAAGTGACCTACTCGACGAGTCGGGAGACCGAATCGACGAGTAGAACTGTCTGGATGAAACCCTAATATTTAGGGTTTGCACCCTATTTAAACAACTCACAACGCCCCAACACAACCTCCATTGTTCCTCCCAACCCAAAGAACGCCCTAACTCGAACCCTAAGCCTCTTTTGAGTGTTTTTGAGCTTTTTGGTGACTTTTGTGTGCATTTGAAGTTGGAAGAGAAGGAGAAAGCTTGGGAGTTCAAGTGGAAGCTTGTAGATCTAGAGGTTTTGCTTCATTCTCAGTTCATTCAAGGTAAAAAGCTTGAACCTTGACCATATATCTCTTAGATCTTGTTTTGGGGCTATTTTCTGCCCTTTTTATGAGTTGTGAAGTTATAATCGGATTTTGTGAGTGTGGTTGGAGTTACACTTTAGATCTGGAACCATTGAGGATTCCCATGGCATAAAGGTGCCAACTTTATGGCCATGGGAGACCCATGCTTCTTATATACCTCTTTTATGGCTTTTGAGCCAAAAACCCCCATGCATGGACGTCAACATTGGAACTTTACGTATAAAATGGACCCTAGGAGGTCAGATCTATGGTTTTGATGCATTAAGACCCATTATAATCGACTGAATAGTTTTAGACAAAGAGGGACTCGGGCAAGTCGCTTGGGTGACTCGGCGAGTCGGTCGTATTTTCCCCCAAAGGTTTTCTGGAAAATGGTCTTTGGTTGAGTGGAAGGAACACTAAGTCTGTTAGGGGTTTGTTATGGACTTGAAGATCAAAGGACTCGACAAGTTCAAGAAGAAACTCGATAAGTTCAAGGCAATGTCCCAAACCAGATGAAGACGGACTCGACGAGTTCAAGGATGAACTCGGCGAGTCCGTCTTCATGTGGTTTGGGACATTGCCTTTAACTTGTCGAGTGGATGAACTCGGCGAGTCATAGACTGAACACCTTCATATGGATGAAGATGAACTCGACGAGTTCAAGGACAAACTCGGCGAGTCGGTTGAAGATAGTCCGATGTGTTGTGTGACATCCCCTAATTTCTCGGTCAGAAAAGACCGATTTAATTTATGCTTTTTAAAATAAAATCAGAGAAATCTTTTTAAAAAGATGTTGCGGAATTGGTCCCCAAACCAAAACATGATAAAAGTTTGTCAAAACCTTTCTTTAAGAAATATATAATCTCCTTTTATATCAAAACCTCAGGATGTCATGTTCCGATACAGACCAAAAGTATAAACAAGACATTATAAGCCTTACAACAATCATTTATAACTACTGGCCTATAATCCAAAAATCGCTCATCATCATCATCCGACTATGCTCGGGGTCCACTACCTGTAATATAAAAAGCTGAGTGGGTCAGGCTTGGAAGCCTGGTGAGCATATAGGGTTTTCAACCTACAATAAATAATAAACTCTTTAAGTTTATCAATCAACAATAATTTATTAATTTCATCAACCAAAAACAACCCTAATTACCCATTCCCGTTATCCGCACCTTACGTCCCTAAAACAACTATCACAAGGGACCTAACCTAAGGATTTTCATTAGGGGTGACAACATTGCTTCGGGGGTTCCTCAGCAATTTATGTCAAATAAGGCAACCATCGGGGTGACAACTTTGCTTTCCTCAGCAAATTATGTCAAACAAGACAACCTAACATAAAACAACCAATAAGGTGACAACATTGATTTCCTCAGCAATTTATGTCAAATAAGACAACTAATAGGGTGACAACATTGCTTTCCTCTGCAATTTATGTCAAATAAAACGATCATCGGGGTGACAACATTGCTTTTCCTCAGCAATTTATGTCAAATAAAACAAACACCTGGATGACAACATTGCTTTCCCTCAGCAATTTATGTCAAATAAAACAAACACCGGGGCGACAACATTGTTTTCCTTTAACAATTTATGTCAAATAGGCACGAAGTCACATCGTCGCCAAAGTTTATACAAGAGGCACTAAGTCCATAGCTGTCAACGTACTAAATCCGTAGCTACCAACGCACATCTATACTGTACTGAATTCATAGCTACCAACGTACATCTATATTGTACTTCTATCCCTCATGCTTTATCTACCCATGTTTTACCCAACATATTTGAAGATAAAATATATATACATTTTTAAATCATTTTAAACATGTATAAAACATTCATTCAACATCCATCTCAAATAAACAAACAACATATATATAATATTATATATATATATATATATATATATATATATATATATATATATATATACACATAGCACGTATTTTATATAAAATACTTCATATCTATATGTAAGATGAAAGTGACTATACACTCACTTTTTACGACATTCGGCACCGTGCCGGTTTGTCGAAACTTCGACATGTCATAACTTCTTCGTTATAACTCGGATTTCGGCATTCTTTATATATCCGTAATCCTTGTCACGACCACTACAACTTTCTTAATAAATATCGCCTTTATCTAATATTTATTTTCGACGCTCATTTTTAGTCTTAATTAATTAAACCCTGATAATTAAACATAAAACACATAAAACACATAATATTCACATAATTCCTTTTCATTTCTACAAAATGAGTCACAAAGGTTAACCTAGACTATCATGTCAATATTAATGCCTAGCCTAGAAACACAGGCATTACATGTTGTTGAAGGAAAACTCGTCGAGCTCTTGCTAGACTCGACGAGTAGGGACGGGGTGGTATGTTTATTAATTGGTATATATATGTTTTTCTTATTTCCTTTGATTATTATAGCTTCGGGTGTGTTGATTATCGATGACAACAATCCACGCTTCGTTGAGCAACAAATATGGATTTGGGTATCGATATTTCCCTCTCTTCATCAAACTGTATAATTTGTTTTTTGAAAAAAAACATGTTTTTTGTGTGTGTATGGGTTAGAGGTCAAAGATGGTAACCAAATTTGCATATTTTTATAACTTATAAAAAATCTTACTCTCCATAACTTGATATTCACAAAAAAAACAATTAAAACTTGTTGATATCTGTTCTTAAAGGGACTTTTTTGCTCTCTGTGTAAAGATCTGGTGAGGAAGCACACTGTACTGTATGTAGTAAGTGATCTTTCAGTGATGGTTTTGTGACATTTTGAAGTTATATAATCAGGTTCCTGTGATACATAATGCAGATGGTATTCAGAACTTTTTTATCTTTAGTAGACAAAAATACCCCTCCACATTTCAATCCTTTTTCACCCATAAAAAAGATTAATTGGCATGTATAATCAAATATAAATGGCATATCCATGATAAAAGATGGAAATCAATGATTATTAGATCTGAAATTGCTGGAACAGGTTCACCTGGAGCTTCATATTCTTATCAATTATCAGGTTATAATCATCTGAATTTCTTAATGTCTATGAGTTTTATTTATTTATAATTTTAATATTTTACATCTACCCAATTGTTTTATATTTTAAGTGCAAAATTCAATTTGGGCTAAAAAATCAGAGGAATATGCTTTTACATTATCATATAGTTCATTTCCATATTTGTGTTTATAGACATGTTAATGGCACATCCATTTGTGCTATTAAGGGATCGGTACCAAAGCAAGTTTCATTAGTTTGTTGCTAAAGTTTGGGATTCTATGGCAATCACTCCATTTTTTAGACTGAAATTTCAAGGTTCCAAGATCTACCCCCACAAGATTATCTTGTTGTTTACTTGTCTAACCACCAAACTTTTTTGGACATATATACCCTTTTGACTCTAGGGAGAAACTTCAAATTCGTTAGCAATATGTATTCTTTTTCTTTTGTTCAGGACCACACAAGCATCAGAGATTCAGAAATAGATGCCCCCACAATCCATGTGCAAGGGGAATATATTTATACCTCTACAAAACCTCTTGCATTTTATCCAAGTTGGTACCATTATTGCATCAAATGGTCTTTATCTTTTTCATTATTAATAAAATGTGTACATTGTAGTTGGTTTCACAAGATTTATGTTTTTTCAACTATATGTCTCACATTGTTTCTCGTCGCACCGTACATGCAAAAGTACCATAAGTTTCTATCTATATTATTAGTTATTTGTTTATTTTGTTCATTTATACTAAAATTGCTAAACATAATTAGTATGCATGGGTCCTCTTGATGATTTTCCCTTCAAGTCGTGTCGCATACATTTTGGATTCTATGAAGAAGCCTATGCAAAATCCTGTCGACACCTGCTACGTGCTTAAACTTTTGGACATGTAAGAAATTTTTTAATAGGCATGAAAATTACATTCTTTCTATAAACTTGAACACAACTCAATTGGTTGTTAATTTTTAGGGCTTTTGCTAGGTATGAAAAAAAACACATCAACTCCAATTGTATGGATGTTCGCTGAGGTAATTTATCTTATTACTTATCCAACAATCAGATATTGTAGTTTCATTTGTCTTGTTTATGTTTCCTTTTTGTCACAATTTTAGTGAAACCAAGTTGGCGTATCCAAGAGTCACCTGAGTGGACACTATGCAATGAAATGGATGTTTGATTTTGTAATTTCCAGGCAATATGGATTCCCAAATAGAGTAAGTACTTACTAAATACTTTTTTTTTCATTTTGTTTGTATCAAGAAACAACATGTTATGTTATTTATTAGTTTAATTTAATATTTTATGTATTTTGGTACCCTTGGGAATGAAAAAACTCCCTTAGAGGAAAAGGTGTTGATTACGATTGTTGCTACGCGGACTAGGGAATTTCGGAATAACTATATGAATGATGTTGTCTAAAAGTGCATATAAGGTTAGTTGTTAATCATCAAAGCATCCTACTTTTAGTTTAATTATTGTTTGTTAAATTCATTTGTTTTGAAACATTAGACAAAAAATTGATTCTTTGTTGTGTTTGTTTTTCCGTGAGATTGGAGGATGGCTGCTACACTTGATTATATGACAATTCTACTTCGATCCAATAACAATTTATTTTTTGAAAAAATTTATGTAAGTTTTATGTAGTAAGATATGATCAAATCAAGTTGTTTTTTGTGACACGCAAACATGTTTATATTAATAACTATAATGGTTGGTTATTTAGCATGTCTACATTAACATAATTTTCTAATCAGAGCATACTTTTTTTGTATTGAATATGTGTTTTGGATGTAAGTCTCAGTTGTGTTGGTGGTTAATTGTATGATAATGTAATTTTGGATGTAAGCCTTGTTAGTTATATTCGTAAAAAGTATTATAAAAAAATCAGCTTTCGTTAAATGACCCGGTTATTGTAATGGAACCGGTGCAGATGTACATGTTATATAACCCGGTTTTGAGAATTGAAACTGGGACTTATCTCCTTATATGACTCGGTTTTGTATGGTAGAACCGTGTCCAAATCTCCTTGCATGTCCATGTTTTGTTTGCTCCAATATGTTTATATGACCCGGTTGTTAAAAAAACCGCATCCTTTTTAAATTGATAGGGCCCGGTTTTGGAACCGGGTTTTATTTCATTTTTCGCATAGGACTCGCCGACAATACGACCCGGTTCAAAACCGGGTTATTTAATGGATATAACCGGGTTCTATAAGCTTTTTTCTAGTAGTGTATGCGGGCAAAACTCTGATTCGGAAGCTTCTATTCCCCAGCTATCTGGCACCGCAGGGCTTTGCTAAATTGTTCGGTAAATCAAGAGTATCAGGACTAAGGGGTGGAAAGAGCTCCAGAGGATTCGGGTGGAGTTGAGATGAGAAAATGGCTGGAACTCGAGAGTTTATATAGGCTGAAATGTTGTGTGCGCGATGCATCTGGTCGGCCACGGTGATTTGTATATCGATGGGTGGTGCCATATGTCAAGCATCTGGTGGAGTGTCAGTGCGCGCCACGCCTACTGTCTATGCGCGCGGTTGCACGCGGAAATTTCTAATTTCTTAGAAAACTCATATCTTTTCCGTACGAGCTCCGTTTTCGACAGGTTTTATATCTACGTATAGCTATCGACGATATCTACAACTTTCATTTCGACCCAATCGGATAATTTTGAATTTATTTTTGAAGTTATATTCTTAATAGGCTTAGACTCTTAAAGTCCGATAAAAATTCATAATTGTATCATACGATATGTGTTCTTGGCTGTCTTTATATCGATGGATAGGTGGTGACGAGATTTTCAACTCTCATTTAGATAGTTTTTCCTAACAATAGAACAAATTCAATTCCGGTTTCTGAGCCGTATACTGCTACGCTGAAACATTAGAAAAATCATAACTTCTTCTTATGAAGTCAGATTTGAGCGTTCTCTATATGTACAGAATCCTTGTCACATATAATATAACTTTGGTTAAGGTCATTTATCCTAAATATTCCTCTATCATTAGTCATAGTTATCGCTTATAGTACCTTATGCGTCTAGCCCGAATTTGCGGGTGTTACAATTATCTCCCCTTAGGATGATTACGTCCTGGAATTGTCAAAAATAAAAGGCTTGTATGATGATTTCGCACGTTACCTTTTCCATCCTAGGTAATAATCGTAACTTGGACTTATTGACTGTTGGCGGTGTTAAATCTTGTATCCGCTATTCTTTCTAAATTCGATATTTATTGGAGAATCACGTTCCTTCCGGAACAGACTTAATTTAATAAGAAGTATTTACTTCAGATACTATAACAGAATGAATGGTCGGGCTCAAATGATATTCCATCGCATGATGGAATGGCTATACTCATATCTCTTTGAGTCAGATTCCAGTAAGAAAGATTCCTTCCATCATTTTCTAATGTTATATAATCACATTCTAGCACGTAGCACTTCTAGATACGGGCTGGTTAATCTTAACGATGGTCGTGAAACTTCTATTGATCGCTTCGATTATCTTTTTCTTTAATCTAAAGTTGTATTCTTCATTGAACTTACTTTACAGATTAGACGGACTCGATTCGATATGACCACTAAGTTCGGAATATCATTCATATTCTTAGTCATTATCGAAACAAAGGTGATGATGGAAATAAACAAAAAATAGCTCAATTACTTAGAGACTTAATAACCTTGTGACTTTCCCTAATCCAAGTGCGAGTCCTATGCTTCCGGTAGTATATTCCTCTACTACTTTTCGCATATACTGATACTCATCCCAAAAATTGTCTCGTAGTTAGCCAAGTCACCATACAAGAAATCAACTGAACACATCGGATAACATAATTTGGGATTATATTACTTTTTGAAAACGATTACATCGTTATTGGAGTTCATCATGCCTTTTACATCATACTACATCCTACAATACTATTTATATGGGTTGACTACTTTTTATTTTAGATATCCTAGATAAGCAGCTTCATCATATTGGCTTCCTGAAGCTACTTCTGCTTCCACCTTTACTGTCATGAGAGTCATCCGAGATTCTTGTATAACTTCATTCCTTCTTGGGCAGTCCTTTGCTATAAGTCCTTATTCTTCACATTGAAAACATACGCTTCCAATGTGTCTACATTCATTTGTATAGTGACCAGTCTTCCAACACTTGAATCAGGTCAATCCTACAAAGCATCCTCCAAAGTGTTTTTTTCTGCACTTGTCGCACCAATTAGCTTCTTTGTTATCCTCGGACCTCTCGCCGTTTGGGATTCGTGTTGAAAACCTCCTCTTTTTGTTGGGTTTTGAGGATCCATCATTAATCCTCTTCTGTGACATCCCCAAAATCACGGCCATAAAAGACCGGTTTCATTTATGCTTTTAAATAAAATCAGAGTAAATCCTTTGATTAAAAGAGTTGCGGAATTTGTCCCCAAAACAATACATGATAAAGTAAGGTTTATCAAAGCATTTCTTAAAGAAATGTATCTTCATTATATATATCAAAACTCGGGATGTCATGTTCCGATACAGACCAAAAACATAAACAATACAACATAGACCTTACAATAGTTACATATAACTACTGGTCTATAATCTAAAAATATCTTGACAATGTCATCCAACTTATGCTCTCGTGCCACTACCTGTAATACAAAGAAAACTGGTGGGTCAGGCTTGGGAGCCTGGTGAGCATATAGGGTTTTCAACCCACAATAAATGATTATATTTAATTTCACCAACCAACAATAACCCGATTACCCATTCCTGTTATCCTTACTTTACGTCCCTAAAACAATTAACCCAAGGGACATATCCTAAGGATTTTCATCGGGGCGACAACACTGCTTTGGGGGTTTCCCAGCAATTTATGTCAAATAAGGCAACCATGGGGGGGATGGAGTACAACAAATGAACACCCAAGTTCATTAACACCTACAACTTATGAGCCTGCTAGCGTTCCACTAGACTGTCTAGAAAAGTCTGTGGTCGTCATCTAAACTCCGTTAGATAACTGAATCAGCAATAACAACGAGGCCTCTCACAATTTTATTTCATCACACACCAACTGTCTACCCATGTTCTACCCAACATATTAGTAGATAAAAATATATACATTTATATATAGCTTAAACTTGTGCAAATCATTCATTCAACAATTATTTCAAATAAACAAATAATATATAAACACATAGCACGTATTTTATAAAGAATACTTCATATCTATATGTTAGAAGAAAGTGACTACACACTCACTTTATCAGAAGATGATCGGACAACACTACGGCTCTAAGAGTAGTGTTCTTCGGTGAAACAGGGATATCTTCACACACCGGGCTTCTCGCGGGCAGGGCTTCGGCTCGGAAACTCTTTTCTTCTCGGGATCTTTGGAGCTTCAGGACTCGCTTCGGGTCTCGGGATGATACCCGGGCTTCGGGGGTACTTCGGGATGGCTATAGAGGGTATCGGGAGTGAGAGAGAAGAGATGGAGCAACCAAAATCGGCTGACCCTCGATTTCTATTTATAGGGCCAAAATTCGGGATTCACGTCATGAGTTTCCAATGCTCACGTTGTGAGCCTAGTAGTTCACTGCGTTCGTCACTCGTCCACTTGCTCTGGAAGACGTCCATCACTTGCTCACGTCGTGAGCTCCGACACAGCCTCGAATTTTGTATTCCGAACTTCAGCAATTCATATCTTTCGCATACGAGATCCAATTTTGACGTTCTTTATATCCACGCGTAGGTGAGATCATGCTCTACAACTCTCATTTAGACTCCGTTGGCTAATTTTGACTTTATTTTTTATTATATTATTTTTAGTAGGCCGGGACAGGAAAACTCCGTTAGAAAATCATATCTTCTTCATCTGACATCCATTTTCGTCTGTCTTTTCACCGTTGGACTACTATCGACGAGATCTTCGATTCTCGTTTAGATTGTTTCGGCTAGAAATCACTCGATCTCATATTCGAACTTCGGGCTGCATACTGCTAAGCTGAAACTTAGAAAAATCATAACTTCCTCATACGAAGTCAGATTTAGACGTTCTTTTTATGCATGCTCTCGGTTTAACGTATTCTATGACTTTCGTTTAGATCACCAAGGCTAGATATCGTTCTATCCTAAATTCGTATTTTACGTCATACAGCGTCGTGCCGGTTCTGTCACGAAACTTCGACAGGTCATAACTTCTTCGTTATAACTCGGATTTCGGCATTCTTTATATATTCGGAAACCTTGTCACGACCACTTCGTCTTCATGTATCGATATCAGTTCTATCTAACATTTTATTATTTTTTTTACGCTTATTTTTATTCTTAATTCAATTAAGCCACACAATTAAGAATAAAACACATAATACTCAAATAATACATTCTCACTATTTCAAAATGAGTTA